GAAGATGGAAAAAGTAAGGGGAAAGAATTTATGCCCCTAATCGCAGTCTCCAATTTTTTCTTTTCCATTTTCGTCTTCTTCGCAGCAATAGCTTCAAAAAAAGTTGTTGCTGAATTATATGTTCAAAGCGCATCAATTTTTTCTACTCTGTTATCCGTTGATCCTTTTTTCCCCGCTGATTCACCTACTTACATGTGATATGTATATCATATAATCACTTTTCCCCTCGTTTTCGTTTATTTCTCCTACTTTGCTTCTGCTCCACCCTTTTGGAAATCAAAAATTTGCCAGAAATAAAAATAAAAAGTGAGAGCAAATATACTGTTCACAAAATACTATACGATCGGTTATAGATGCACAACCGAAAACTTGGTGTCAAAGAAACCGTTTTCTTTCAAACCATAAAGGTTAGGAGAACCAAATGTCGGAAGTCAGAAGAACAAACCGAGTGGGGAAAAGAAAAACAAAAGTCCAAAAACTGACAAATCTGTACACAGCTCAAAAAATACTGTGACAAAAAGAGCAAAAATTAAGAGTTCTGATTGTTAATCAGAAAAAAAATAAGTAAACAAAAAAAAGCATATATATTAATTGAAACGAAAAAAAGTTTTCTTCATTACCTCAAAAAGCAGAAGGAAACAAATATTGTAGACGAAGTTCATAGAATATACGCTTCTCGATATATTGACATCGCCAAAAGCTTTCCGTTTTTAATCTATCTATTCCCAAATCATCCTGTCAAGAAATTTTTGTAGATAAAAATAAGTTGTATGAAAAGACAGAAAAAAAGCAAACGACGACGAACAATGTAACAGCAATATTCAAATTTGATAACTTCGTATTATTGTCCTAGCAACTTAACCTAAACGTTGGTTATTGTAGACAAAAAAGAAAAGTTACTAAGAATTGTACATACACCAAGAAAAACAAGCAGAAATAATGCTGCACAAAGTTGGTAGCATATTTTACCTGATAAATACACCTAAAAAAAAAAATTTTTTTTCAACCGACAGCAACGGCAGGAATTACAATTTATTAATGTCATTAATATATTAATGACTACTATTCTATTAAATAAACATTTTTTGGTTGTTAAACAATGATTAACTGATGGAAACATTTGTTAGCAATAGTGATAACAACAAAAGGTAGTGACAGAAGAAGAAGAAGACGAAGACGACGACGACGACGACAAAACAACAATAAGTAATGCCTGAAAAAGATGAAAAAAAGGGATGACTGGCTTTCTGAAGTAGAGGCTACCAACAGAAACACTGACCATCCCATTTATTCTATCCATTCGTCCAATCGTCCGTTCATCCCATCATAATCATCCATCTATCTATCCATCCACTCAACCAACCCCTCCAGTCAAGCAGGCAGGCAGGCAGGCATCAAACCCCCTATTAATTCATGCGTTTATTCATGAAAAATTTTTTCGGCAAAAGTTGATGCAGCTGCAACAACAACAACAACTTTTGCTTGCAAAAAAAAAAAAAAA